AACATCTACTTATTTTACGAACCTCTAGTACCAAGTGGTATTCGTTCAAACAAATTGTAAACTACTGCATAAAAGGTGTGAGTTTCCAACCTAGCCGACCAGTACGAACCAACGACAATGCAGCAGCGTGTTCTATCGCAATCTAAGTACTGTAGTAGATTCTCTGGCCCCAGCTAAATTGACCTTCGATAAAAAACGAATTATTTTAATCTCTAGCTAGCATTCTTCCATTTAACAAAATATTGTTTTAATTTTAATTAAAACGTCTGTATACTTTATGGACCTTTCTGTCCTGTTTTGTAGTTTTTACATCGCTCAATTTTTGTTTACATGCACTTCGCGAAATCTAGCTTCGCGGTGTCAAATAAGTTGCTGACTTCCACACACTTTTTGATTTCGTCATCGTAAACATGTGCGCTCATTTTAACGACTGGCGTTGGTGGTAGTTCGTTGAAACTGAATTAATAGCGACTATTAGAGCAGAAATGGAAAAGATTGAATTGTCAATAAATAAATAAAACAAATCTGATTTTATTATTAAGAAAAATATACATTATCACTTTAAAAAACGTACGCAATCGGACTTTTTAACGTTATTACTTGGGCGATGATGCAAAGGGCAAAGGTCATTGGTAATATCGACTATTCGTAAAACGGACGTTTGCTGGGTTTTTACCCATAATATTACAAATAATTTCTAAAAACCAGACTAATGAGACTACTTCGATGCTGTTGTTAGCATTGTTGGAGTATGTTGTTGCCAGCCAGAAGATGATAATGGTGGTACAATACAACAACGCTGGCTTAGATGCCTACGTTACGTAATCGTGTCCTTGTAATCCGAGCCGACTTTACCGTTAAGCAAGTTAATTTACCGTTATTCTAGTAAAGTTAAGTCACAAGTGACTTAATTCCTTTATCTAGATAATTGAGTGGTTCACGTCGAACTTTTAACTAGTTAAGTGGATCTATATCTAGATAAAAGTTCGACGTGAACCAGGCTATATAGTTTCCGACCATTTCCCAGTGATTTTGAGCTACTCCCGTCAAGCTCACTTTTGCTCTCTTCGTGGGACACCGGGACCCCCCGTCGGGGAAACCCTGGCACCCTCCTGATCACATGTATCACGTCAATTGAAGAACATCGTCATTGGAAGAAGGGAGGTTTTCGTCCTTTGTAGAAAGATGGCCAATTAGGACCTTAAACCATAGAATAAAAGGGTTAGGCCTAGGCCTATAGTGTAAAACAAAGACTTATGCCCCGGTTCCCCCACCTACTGGATGCTCTGAAAATAATACCGTTGATTGGCAATAGAATAACCTATTTTAATGCCCCCTTATTATTCGGCCTCCCACTTTTTAACCTTAGTGTCCCCATTTCCATGTCAATACGGTACCGGTACTCCACATACGGAATTAGAATAAATGTTGATTGTATGTTGATGTATGACCCTAAATTCAGCTAAAGGAGCGGACAGTCACAGTGATAAAATGATTTCTTTTAGTTCCATATTGTAAATCATTTGAAACCGAACTGTCGTGTTCGTTTTTATAGGGTTAGGCCTATTTATTTCGTTCAGTTAAAGTCAAGATTATAAGAATAGATTTTAACACTCTAAAGTATCGCTAACTGAGTCAAGTTCTTCAGCTCAATAGACATCATAATGGGGATTTGTTTTTTTAAATGAGACTTTTTATTTTGCGCTTTATAAATTTAGAACCATTAACATTTTGCGCCAGCCCATAGAAAGAAAAATGATGCAAGACTAGCATTCATATGAAATTATTTCATCATCGATCGTAACTGACCCTGTCGAACAAATAGCTCAGCGTGTTGGAATTTATTTTTATTGGTCTAGCCAAATATACAAAATCATCATTGCATAATTTGATTTCTTTTTATTATATAGTTTTGTCTTTGATAGCTCAAAACACGATTCTATTATATCAATCATTCATTCATAACTTGTAATAAATAGGCCTATATCAATTAACCATGTTCATGCTTATCATTTGTATTTGTCACCATGGGATTTCATAAATATTAACGTACGTAGAAGTTATAGTAGTTAAACATTGCTTTAACAATAGAAATGATATTTTAAAAATGATGTTTTACACTAACCAAAACTCGCCTGGCGTTTATCCTAATATTTATAACAATACCGTAATATACCACCGGCAGTGTGTTATTTTAAAATCTAACGTCACCTGGCTTAATTCAAAAGCATCTAATATGTTTACTAAATAATACAGAGCATATTGTACCCTGTATATTCATAACACATGTTTAATTTAATTAGGCCACATCTTTTTATCAGCGTATTTCACAATATCCGTCAACTTGTATAAATAGTAGGTGCACCTTCCTTGTATTCATGCATCATATAATATGATTTTGTTCGTGTTTCTTGCACTTTATTTATTCATGGAGGAATAAGCATACTGTACCCTGTGTATACATAACACATGTTGTATTTAATTAGCATACCGTCATATTTAAAGCACAATGCTAGTATTTTATAGTCTTAATCTTTAGTAAATGGTTGGTCTGTTTCTGAGGTACCCGTAGTAAGTTTTAAACAGTGATTTTAACTAAATATCTTAACGTATTTCTCGTCATTGCCAAGTTGTTATGTCTCGTGATTGTTCATGTTTCAAAGGAAAAACAAATTCCTATTTTAAAATGGACAATAAAGTGGCCATAACGGCTTCAACAGGACCGTACATGTTTCGGCAGTGCTACTACCATCGTCAATTATGGTATTGCACGCAGACAATCATTAGTACTAAGGGCATAAATAATTCAATGTTTTGCATGCTAGAGTTGTGAAATGTACCGTAACAATACTACAAAACATACGGTAATATAAGTAAAGATGAAAACCAGAGTAGGGCCACAGTATCTATGCCGTAAAAGGGAAAATGGAATGAATTTAGAATGACAAAGATAAATTAACAAAAAAGCTGTTTGTTCAGTGAGCCGGGCTGCCCCCACTGAATAGGCCTATGCAAGGTTTCTATATGTGTGTGTGTGTGTGTGTGTGTGTGTGTGTGTATGAAACAAAATAAAATAAATTTCCCCGCCGGACGCCATCCCGGTATTTCTCTGAGTCTAACGGGGCCTGAAAATTATTAGGCCTACGTGGTGAATCAAATTATGACAATAGGCCTAGCTATTAATAAATACTTAACAACTACAGCAAAAGTATATAGGCCTACACAGTTAAAAATGAAATCATTTCAAATTTGTTCCATATTTTCAATAAGCTGAATTTGCAAGTTATGTTTGATTACGCAAGAGAAAGTAGAATTTGGCTTACAAACGATATTGAGTTGTAATGGTCCGGCCAAAACCGGACGAGCCGGACCGCTTTCGTCGCCCATCGAGGTAGGCTCGCTTTCCTTCATTAAATTTCCGATTTTTTTTTTCTAAAACAAGTCAAGGTCATTCAAGCGTTAATTATTTAAGGTGGCGCTGTTCTCTTTAAATCCCCAGAAAAAAAAAAGAGCGGTGAAATCAAAACAGCAGACGGTGACCTAAAATTGCGAGAGAAGACATTCCTAGACTAGGCCAAGGACTAAACTAAAGTTTGTTTAACCTGCAGTGTTATCTTTTTGTTTGGTACACATTACCTATCTCATAAAATACCATTTATTATCTTAGCAATAGTAGGTATTCAGGAACAATCATGAAAACGAAGAACAACCCAAAAACGAGGTTAGTTATTTCACAGAATCAACCGGTGTCTGACCCTGACCGTGCGTGCCGTCCCGCCTAGCCTAGCCCTCCTCTAGAGGCCTAGGCCTACATATTAATTAGGCCTATGCTAGGGGAATACCCATGCTAGGGACCTGTTAATTAGGCCTAACTAGTAGTAGGCCTAAGCAGGCCTGGCCTATATGGGCCTAGGCCCTAGTAGAAGACCTACCTAGGCCTAGGCCTAGAGTCTATTTTATTACTATTGCTGGTGGTTGAGTGTGTCGTGTTTTAGGCCTAATAATATTAGTTTACTTAACTGCTGGTCGTGAAGTAAGGCTTAACCTAGGCTAGGCCTACAGTAGGCCTAGGCCTATATAGCCTAGGTCTCCTAGCTAGACATGGATAGGCCTACCCACCCAGGGGCTTAGCCTTGCCTTTCTTAGGCCTACTAACTAGGCCTACTGCAGGATTGGAAGAGTTTATAGGCTAGGCCTAAGATCAGAAGGCCTAGGCTACCAGGAATGACGTCCGGTTCGGCCGCGCACCAGTTCGGCCGCGCACCAGTTCGACCGTGAGATATCTAATGCCCAAATAAGGGTTATTGATTGAATGGAACGCCGAGTAGTATAATCAATGCGTGAATTAGATATCATAGTGATATCAACGTTGGCCGCCGCAGGTTATGGGGTATACTGTACAGGGAAATCATCCGTGCACAAACCTAATAAAATCCACTGTTCGTTTGTTTCAAATTGATAAAACGTGATATATGAATCTTAAAACATTACTATTAAACTTGCACAAACCTAATAAAATCCACTGTTTGTTTGTTTCAAATTGATAAAACGAAATAGGCCTGTATGAATCCTAAAACATTATTAATAACTTACACGAACCTAATAAAATCCACTGTTTTGTTCGCAAACTCAACCTAAAACTATTAATGCCAGTGAATTGCTTAAAACCACATTAATTAATTTGCAGCATAAAGACCTGATAATATACTATACAAAACAAAATCATTGATCTGTAGCAGCAATAGATTAACCATGAATAAATAAAAACAAATAATTAAATCCATTTCATTTGGTTGGTTTATCAACATATGATTGCATAATAATGGGACATACACAAACCTAATACTGTAAAATCCACTGTTTGGGTGAACTTATAATGCCAGCATAATAATGCTCTGATTTCCTTAAAACCACATAATTATTTGGCAGCATATTAAGACCTAACAATAAAACATGAATTAATGGATACTGTAGCAGCAATAGATTAACCACACGCACACACATGTACAGCATGCACAGTTTGCACCTACTTGGCGCTCCATACAAATATACCACGGCCGAACACTGGCTACCAGTACTCCAGACTGTATAGTAAGACCTGCGGGAATATATCCTACACGCAAAATTTTGGCCTAGAAATCTGTCTGCGCTTTGTGGAAATAAGAATATGGGCCGATTTCCGCGCAGATTTTGCCAAAAATTAGACCTTGACCGAATCCTAATATAACCAACACAATTATGCAGCAATTAAGATTCCGCGCACCTATTTTCCCGGTAATTTTCCGCATAAATTTGAGTTGATTTTGGAGATATCTGCGCAATTATAAAACTTTGCATTATGGCTAATACTATTTTGAAATTTTAACAAACCTGCACAGTGTTCTTTTTTTTTCTTTATAGATTTAATAAGAAAGAATTTCCTTCAGATCTGAAGTTGGATACATTTGGGTGTCAACGGCGTAGTAAAAGAATTGAGCGTCATACACTACGCCAGTGCTACACCAAAATTATCACTGAAGGTTTGCTTGGCTCTTTTGAAATATTGCCTGCTGAAATCAAGTACCATGTTCTAAGATTTCTCTCAGGTATGGTGCTGTCTAACAACAAAAGGTGCAAACCTGCATTTGTTGTTTATGGGATTAGGTGTGCAAAACACCACTATGGGATTAGGTGTTGAATTAGATTTAAAAAAACTAAGTTATATTGAAAAGTATTTAAATTTGTAGATTAAGTTATGGTGTGGGTGAGTGGCAGTCAAGGACCGACATTGTTGGAGGGGGATGTTTGGGAATGTTCTTTACTTACTGTGAGAGTTCAGGGGACTATGCCCAAAGAAGCTCTGGAATTTAGTCATTTCGAAATTTTATTTAAATGAATATACTCATGGTTAGAGAATTTTGGCTGCTGCTGGAGTAGGGGATGGTGAAGCACCCCTTTCACCATCCCTCGACCCACTTCTGATAGCAAGGACATTATACATTTTATTGCTTAAATGTTTTTGCAGTATTGGTTTTCATCTAACTTTTTCATTTCTTTTTTCTTTCAAGTTGAAGAGTTGAGCATCTTAAGTATAGTCAGCAAAGCCATGAGAGACTTAGTATTAAAGTACATGCTAAGCCCAGTTAGAAGTGAACAGTTTTGTCCAGTAAAGCATACTTCCATTGGAATAGCAGGAAGAACATGTTGTCGATGGACTGATGTTTCTAATCACTTTAAATCCTTAGGTAAATAAAGTTGCTGTTTACTACAGTTTATTATAAGTGTAGAACAGGCTGATAGAATTTTATGTAGGCTCTAAGTTAACATATAACTATTCAAAAAATTGTTTTAATCAAAATTTGAACTTGTATGAGTTGGCTGCACATGATTAAATCTTTATGGTTAAACATTGGTTTTCTTTGTAATGTTTCTTAGCAGCTCAAGATTAAATTTAATAAAGTTTTAAAAAGAAAAAGAAATAATATCCAGTGTTACAGTACTGTACCATTAAATTACATTTTTGGATGTACTTGTTATAGGGCTTTTGGTTAAGAGAGCAACATGTCTTCATCCAACAAAAGAGCGACTTAAGATAATGGACAAGTTTGTGAGCCAGGTGAGTTAGACCTTAAGCAGACAGCTGAGTATTAAGCTCTGTTTGGATTGGACTTACTGGTCAAACTAAACCCTGTTGCTGATCAATTTGACAAAAATACTCCAGTTTAAACAGCCAACATAACATTCTCCTTGGTCAGATTACCAATCCATGTGGTAAGTTTAACCGATTGAACATTCTTCAGGAAGAATACCCACGCTGATTATATTCCGAATTGTAAAAGTCCAATGCTAAAAGCATAAGTTGGTTAAATCTTTTTGAGCTTGTGCTTTTACCAGATGTATCGACTTTTTCATACAGAGTATCCACAATTTGATTGACAATGCATGCACAAAATCTCCATACAGTATATGTGTCTATTAATACTATATCTGTTTTTTTTAAATTTTATGTGTTAAACTTCTAAGCTTGCATACTTTACGGATCCCATATCCCATGATGCTCTCAGTTGCTATGGTAGCTTTCTGTTCAGGATGCTAAGGGGATGGGAGGAAAAGGAGTGTTATCGAGCTTTTACTTATGTGTCAGATACACACAGTTTCTACAAGAAACTATGTAAGTATACTAATAACAGAGGAAAATAATAATACATTAATGCAATATATATGTTGATTTGACTATAAATGTATTATATAGACTACTGGTAAAAGCTTGTGTAATAAATTCCTATGTTCTACCTGCGTTTTATTATATCTTACGTAGCCAGGGGGTTTCGTTGGGTTCGAACGAACCCCCCTTTTCATGAAGTGCCCTTTCAACAAAGGCTGGCTAGCCTACAATTTAGGCCTAGCCTAGAGCCTATCATCATTAAAAGTCCTATTTTAATACCCGATTGTTAGGCCTACCTAGTAACATCTAGTAACATAAAAAAATTCAGGCCCCGAAACTTCACTCAGAAATACCGGGATT